GAGTCGCCGCCGCCGATCGGCAGAGCCGAGCAGCTCGCGGCTGGGCCGCCGGCTGCAGCACGTCCGCCAGGCCGCCACGCGCTCCACAGAAGCGCGCGCCACAGCGCGCGCCACGCTCTGCTGCGCCTGCCGAACGTGCGCCGGCGTCCGCGACATGCTCACCAGGGAGGCCACGCTCGAACTCGCCGCGGCGGTCATCTTTGGAGAGGCGTTCTGGGAGCTCATCAAGTCGCTCTCGGCCGACGCCGTGGCGCCCCTCTTCAACTCGCTCCCCGGCCTCACCACGTGCTGCTGGCGGCTCGACCTCGGCGCCGGCTTTGTGCTCCTTGTGCACGGCGACAACTGGCAGGACGGCGTGGGCTACTCGTCTGCCGCAGAGGCGCGGAGAGCAGCCGCTCCGCGCCTCCTCGCCGTCGGGGCACGCCCCACACCGCAGCGCCCCACCGCCCCCGCAGGCCGACCTGGACGGCGCCATCGTCATCAAGTACCGCCTCCTCTGGGAGGCGGTCCTCTCCTTCATCATCGTCATGGTGACCACGTACTGGCTCTTCTTCTGGCTCCGCAAGTCGGCGCGCAAGGCCAAGGCGGAGCGGCTCGCCGAGAGGCTGGCCAAGCGGCTCGCCGAGCGAGGCTCGTCGTCCGCGGCGGCGGGCGCCTCGCCGCCGCACTCGTTGCCGCGGCAGCGAGGGAGAGGCCCGCTCGGCCGAGCGGAGGCTGGCGACGCTCTCGCGGCGATGCTTTGGACGGCGGGCGGCGGGCGGGCGGTCGCCGAGGTGCAGGCGCGCGCCGAGGGAGGAGGGGAGGAGACGCCGCGAGGGCCTGCCGTCGCCCGAATGACCACGCGGCGTCACCATGTAGGGCGAGGGGCTCCCAGAGCGGCTGGCCAGCGCCGACCCTCCTCTCGCGGTTGCGCGCCCTGGCGCCCTGCCCGACCGCCGCGCTCGAGCGTCGTCAACCCTCGGGGCCGAGCCGCCATAGGTACACGAGGCACTGACAGTGCTCCTCCAGCATGGCTTTGCCGTCGCGGCGGCCGCGCCGCTGCCGACGGGCGAGATGCTCTACACTCTGTGTCGGCAAGGGGGCGCGAGGGCGGGGCAGCCGGCCGACGACGACGACGAGCAGCAGAGTTTGCTGCATCTGTAGAAGCACATCGTGAACGTTAGTCCTGACGGCCGTCTCGCCAGACGACTACAATGCGTCAGAGGTACGCGAGTACCAGTACGTCAGTACATAGCCGGACAGTCGCAAGTTGGTGTCACCCACGGCGGCGCTCAGGCGCTCCCTAACCGTAAAGCCGCGTTATGGCGATGTTGTACAATAGAGATTAGAGTCCTCCGAACGCCGACTGTCCCGCGGTGGGAGTACGTATGTCGGGGTATGGCTATGGGCGGCGCGGCCGGCGCGCGGGGGCCGGGGGGGAGAGAGCGCTGAGCGGGCGCGAGAGAGCGGCCACCAGCCCTCCCCGCACCCCGCGCTTCCGAGATGAGTCCACCCCGCGCCCCCGGCCAAGGGCCATCCCGGCCGGATCTGGGAACAAGGCGGAAAGCAGGCAGCTATTCGTTTAGCATCCTCGTAGCCCGATGTCGGGCGAGGGCCGCTGACATGTTTGAGATGAGCGCTGCATAGCTCCCAGTCGTGCTAAACCTGTTGAGGTTCTCGTCGGGGTCGACAGCGTGGTCGTAAAACATGCTGTCCTGCTCCCTTTGTCGGGCGCAAGATTTGGTGCAACTGTCTGCGCTCCAGCAGTTGCCCTGGCAGTACTCGCTTAGCGCGGAGCTGCGGAAGCGCACCGTGTCGCCGTCGCGGTAGCGAGCATATACCGCCTCCTTGTGGAAGGCGTCGGGCGATCGCAGAAGCGGCACGAGGCTCTTTCCCTGCAAGTGCGGCAGGGCTGGGATTCCGGCGAGGTCGAGCAGCGTGGGGAAGATGTCGAGGTTCTCGACGAGCGCGGGCACGCGCGACGCGCTAAAGCCGGGCGCCTTGACGATGAGTGGGACGCGGAGGGCGAGCTCGTAGAGCGAGTGCTTGCAAAAGGTGCCATGCTCGCCCAGGTGGTAGCCGTGGTCGCTGTTGAAGAGTATTACCGTCTCACTGTACATGTCGAGCGCCTTGAGCTCGTCCAACACGAGGCCGACGAGCCCGTCCACGTACGAGGTGGCGGCGTAGTAGCCGTGTACCAGCGAGCGGGAGACCACGTCGCGGGCGAGGTTGGGCTTCGGAGGCTCTGCTGCCCCGTTCCACTCGGAGCTGTACAAGGCCGGGCCGTCGGGGCCTTGTGGGGCCGGCTTGTACTCCGGCATCCTTTCTCCTGTGGAGACTTCCGAGACGGGGACCGTCCCAAGGTTGTACACACCCAACTCCCGGTAGTGCAGCGCCCGTGCCGTCGCGCCCTCCGCATTCCATGGATTGGTCGCGATTGGGAGGTCGTCCCGATTGTACATCCCCCAGTACGAGTAGGGCGCAGCGAAGGGCAGGTGCGGCCGGACAAAGCCACAGGTGATGAAGTGGGGCGTCCCTTTTGCTTTTGCTGTCCGCAGGTCTTCGATGACCTTACGCGTCATCTTGCCGTCAGGCAGCCCTCGCGTGAAAAAGCCGTGATCATCCGCATCGACCCCCGACCAGGCGGGCCAACCGCAACCAAAGCACTTGCTCGAGGCGTCCGGCTCCTTGGCGAGCTTCGCCTGCTCGATTGCCTCCATCCACTTGACGAACTTCTCCGTCCGACTAAAGTCCAGCTCGTTCTCCCAATCGTGCTCCTGGCAGGTGGCGTCGTCTGGGCACTTCGTGTGCCCCTTCGCAGAGGATAGGTTCTGCGTAGATGACCTCCCGGAAGACATGCCATGAGGCCAGACGCAGCACATCGACCCCGGTCGAGTCCTGTAGTCGCAGGCATATCCCGCTATGGAGCCTCCGTCATGGCCACACACCTCGTCCCAGGAGTGCACATTGTCGGCACTGCTGTGGTAGATCTTGCCATTGGAGATGGTCGTATAGCCTGCGTCCCGAAGCGCCGTCGGCATGTCCTTCACGTCTGGCGCGTCCTGCTCCGCCATAGTGTTGAAGTTGATGAAGCGGGTCTCTGAGGCATACATCCCGGTCAACATGCTCGCGCGGGACGCGCCGCAGGTGGGAACCTGGCAGTAGGCTCGTTCAAACAGAGTGCTGTCGGCCGCCAACGCATCAATGTTGGGCGAGAGAGTCTCTGTCGCCCCGTAAGTGCCCAGCTGGGTCCGCAGGTCGTCCGCGACGAACCAGAGGATGTGTGGCTTCACCGACGGGGGTGGCACCGATGGAGGCGGTAGCGGTGACGGGGCGCCGTCTGCCGGGCCCGTTCTAGGCCAGCACACAGGGCAGGCCCCGCAGCCGGACCATGTGCAGTATATGCTCTCTTTGGCAATGGCCTTGTTGGCGCAGTGCTTCTCGCACCGGGGCGGCCCCGCTGGCGGGGGCAGCGATGGTGGAGGCAGAGAGGGCGGCTGCGGCGAGGGCGGCGGCGGCGGCGGCGAGGGCGACAGCGACGGCGGCGGCGGAGTGGGCGGCGGAGGGGCAGGTGGCGGCGGGGCCGGCGGCGGCGGCGAGGGCGACAGCGACGGCGGCGGCGGAGTGGGCGGCGGAGGGGCAGGTGGCGGCGGGGCGGGGGGCGGCACCGACGGTGGCATTGGAGGCGGCGGTGTGGGGGGTGGTGGCGTCGGAGGCGGCGGTGTGGGGGGCGGCGCCGACGGTGGCGTCGGAGGCGGCGGTGTGGGGGGCGGCACCGACGGTGGCGTCGGAGGCGGCGGTGTGGGGGGTGGTGGCGTCGGAGGCGGCGGTGTGGGGGGCGGCGCCGACGGTGGCGTCCGAGGCGGCGGTGTGGGGGGCGGCGCCGACGGCGACGAGGGCAGGCACTCGGAGCAGCCTTTGCAGCCCCCCCAGGTGCACTTGTCATCCCAGGCATGCGTCTTGCCCTCACAAAACGGCTTGCACTCCGGCTCAGGGACGAGGCACTCGGTGCAACCGTTGCAGCCCTCCCAGGTGCACTTGTCATCCCAGGCCTGCGTCTTGTCCTCACAAAACGGCTTGCACACCGGCTCAGGGACGAGGCACTCGGTGCAACCGTTGCAGCCCTCCCAGGTGCACTTGTCATCCCAGGCCTGCGTCTTGTCCTCACAAAACGGCTTGCACTCCGGCTCAGGGACGAGGCACTCGGTGCAACCGTTGCAGCCCTCCCAGGTGCACTTGTCATCCCAGGCCTGCGTCTTGTCCTCACAAAACGGCTTGCACTCCGGCTCAGGGACGAGGCACTCGGTGCAACCGTTGCAGCCCCCCCAGGTGCACTTGTCATCCCAGGCCTGCGTCTTGTCCTCACAAAACGGCTTGCACTCCGGCTCAGGGACGAGGCACTCGGTGCAGCCGTTGCAGCCCCCCCAGGTGCACTTGTCATCCCAGGCCTGCGTCTTGTCCTCACAGAATGCCTTGCACACCGGCGCGGGAGGGGGCGACGCGTGTACGCAGACGGTGAGCGCCAGCGACATCACTGCACGAACCTGCGATGTGTGCATAGCGTCCGTCACGCATCTGGCCGTGCACTCTTACTTTCGGGCTGAGAAAAGCCAAATGCTCCAAATGTCAATTTTACGATGCGAGGTTTAATGAGTCTTCTGGAAATCGCAGTATGGAAGAATACAAAAGATCGAGCAACAACGAGCGCCCTGGCGTGAGAGCCAAAGATACTCCCAACTGCGCTCCGTCACCGGCGTCGGTCGCGCGCGCGGTCACCGGTCTCCCCCACCCACGCACCCACCCACTGACTGACTGAGGACGATCTGCGGGGGGGAGTCGCGCCGCCGGCATGTATCTGTGCAACTGTGTTTTGCCTTAATGACTGCACTCCAAGTGCTCCAAATTTTACGTACAAACCGACGTATAAAGGAGAATTTTAAAGGAGAAACCCGAACGGAACACAAACCGAACAGCCACGTGGCATGGCATAGGTGAAGGAGGCGAGCAATAAACGCACACCTTGTTTGTACATACAGACTTAACAACACCTGTCTGTCTGTAGAGGTGGGTGGGTGGGTAAATATAAACTAAAAAGGAAGGAGCAGAGGTGTGCCAGTGCGATCTTTGTGCAGGGTGGGTGGGTTCTTTGTGGGTGGTGCGCCAGTGGTGGTCGGCGACTAGCCGGGGTCGTCCTCCCGATGGTGGGGGACTAGCACTTGCCGTCGTCCACGTTGTCCCTTGGGTCCCTGCTGCTACTAATCTCTTCGTACATCCTTGCTGATCTCCGCAAAATCCTTCTCCTTCCCTTGTCTCGCTTCTCTCGCATAATACGGGTACGTAATGCGTAGCACATAGCGCCAATGCGACATCAGCAGCGCTGATGCACGCTGTGTTTGAAGTTTGCTGCCCTGAGAGATAAAGGCGATAGGCGGGTCCCGTACCATATGCGGAATCGACCCTATCCAGTGCTCAAGTGCTCAAGTGCGATATGCCGATCGGCTGGCGACCCGTTAGGGTCGACAGTTGAGCTAGGGAGTGTTGCGATGGCCGCCCAAATGCGAACGCAGGAGATAAAATGCTTTGCGGCGACGTTCCGTGGGTAGGATCAAGTCGCCGCTTGCTTTAATTCCAAGCTCCTTGACACGCGCAAAGTCTACGCGCGTCCTCGGGGCCAAGGCGCAGTCCAGCTGTCTGAGGGAGAGAGTCTCCCTCGCTGCGCGTTTCCCCACCCGCCCGCCCTGTGATGGTTTCTTGCCCACCCACTGTGTGTTGTGTGGGTTGTCTCTGTTGTGGGGTTGGGTGCGCTCGCCCGAGGTCCTAACCAGGCCTCAGGCCAGCGCCCAGGGTTTGGCTTTCCCCCCTATGCTATTGTTGGTCGTGACGACCATTTCGATTGGTTATCGTACAAGTTCGCCAAAGGTAGCCTCGTCACACTCAGGCGATACTCTACCACCACCACCACACGCATGGACTTGCATTCGCGCGACGTCTAACCCTGCCAATGCATATAGGCAGCAAACATGGGTGCATATAGGCTTGGGGTGATTTCGGTCATCCGTCAAAATATCTGAAGATCCTATTCCTAATATATGATTCTCCCCAAACCTTGCTCAGCTGATCCAGTAAATGGGTCGTAGGCCAGCCCTCGCCTGGGCAAAAAGAAACCACCACCTGATCGGGCTTCCCTGAGCGTCACAGCTCGGTGATCGCGCCGGCCGGACACCACACTGTAACGTCCGTTCCAGGCATTCGAACGCGACCTTCGGGGGCAAAGACATGGGCTCTATGGCTCAGACTGGACTCCTCTTGGTCCCTTCTGATGCCCTAGCGCCTAGGCCACACCTGGGCCTTACCTGGGGTCCTAGGGACCGGGCAGGGTTTGCCGCCCCCGAAACTGTGCATGTCGGCCCGACACTCGGGAGAGGACGCCGGCGCGCGGCGGTCCGGCGGACGCGTGTTGGCTCGCTCAGCCTCAGGTGAGTCTCGCTCTCGCTCTGTCCTCTGAATGTGAGTCTCTGACTCTGTGTCTCCTCGCTCTCTCTCCGTCAGCGTCACACACTCTCACACACACACAACAGTCACGGAGACACACACACGCACAGCAGTGTCCAGTGACTGTGCGGAGACGACTGAGCCGCCCCCGATTTTCCCACTCACACAGGTGGCGTTTATTTTTGCTTGGGGCGGCCCTCATGATGAAATTCAGGAAAACCTGACCGGTCCCTGCGGTGCCCCTACCTACCTACCTACCTACCTACCTTACTTATGGGAAACTAAAAAAGAAAACACTCGATGGGTGAAGGTGGGGTACTATACCAACTAGAGTGATGGTTGGTGGTACTCTCCTGCAACCACAGTCCTTCTTGTGACATGGCAGGCCACTCTCAAGCCCTACAAGCACCAGATCAACGACTTGGGGAGGGTTGACATCGTGATTTGGGCGGAAATTTCTTTTTCTGCTGTGAAAATTCCGGCGTGAAGAGAGGGAAAAACCCGACGGGAGGGCCCAGACCTACCCTACCTACCCCGTCATGAGGGCCGCCCCAAGCAAAAATAAACGCCACCTGACTCAGACTCCAAAACTGTTCGGTCAAAGCCCTCCAAGTGCGCTCTCACACCGACGCAGAATAGCGCGCGTGCGTCGAACACTCAAAGCCAAGCGGTGTCCTCACAGGGGACTCACCCTCAGGGCCTCGCACCCTCAAATGACGCCTGCCTTCTCCCCCTCTCATCACCGTCGGGCGCCAGCAGCGCGCGAGTTCAGCCCGCAACGACGATGCGCAGCATTGCGAGACCTACGGCGCAAAGCCGAGATGCTATGGGGCGCGGAGTTGGGGAGCGGCAGCTCGAGAGAGAGCGCGAGAGGGCTGCCGACGACGCCGACGAGGAGCAGCGCCCCAAACCACATCTGCAGTTCGTAGCGGCGCATCAGCGGCGCCTCTCGCGTGGGGAGGGCGCTGCCCGGGCAGCGAAGCGGCGTGGCGAGGGCTGCCCGCGGCTCGGCGGCGTGTGGTCGTCGGTGGGCGAGGGGACATGGTGGGCGGCGGCGTGTGTCCGGCGTGTGTGCTGTGGTCGGTCGGCGTGGCTGTGTGGCGCCCGCTCTGCCGCGCGCCTTAAGCGAGGCGAGTCTGCGCGCGGTGATGCGCCGCTTCTTGTACTTGAGCTCGCCGTCCCCGTCCTCGTAAGGCCCGAGCACGCCTGTGCTCGCAGCCGCGGGCTGTGGGAGGAGGCGCGGGGCAGAGGCGTTTGCGCCGCAGGCGATCCCGCCCGGACTGGAGGGCATCTCGACGCGGCAAGCGTCGGTGGCGCCGCCGCCCGCGTCGCCGGGAATCACGCTCGTGCGCGCGGCTCGGCGCGTCGCGGGGGTCGCTGCGGCGGAGGATGCGGCGGGCATCTGCGCGGCGGCGGCGGCGAGGAATGATATCCGCAGCGTGGTCGACTCGTCGATCTCGAGCAGTGTGTCGATCGAGTCGACCGCCTCGTGCCCTGGGTCGTGCAACTGTGGCGTGGAGGAGGGCGGAGGTGCGGATAGGCGCGGGCATAGGGCGAGCAAAGAGCGCTTTGCTCGGCGGCACTATGCTCGGCGGCATCGCGCGTGTGCGCACGCTCGTCTAGTGCCGTGCGCGCGGCCAGCGGCCAGGGTAGGCGGTGTGAGAGACATCGCACCTGTACCGCGTGCCCTTCGGGCAAACCGAGCCGCGAACGCACTCTGCAAAGGAAGCCCTCCCAATCGACGCCCTCGACAAGCGGGACGACGCG